ATGATGCTGACGGGAGACAGGAAAGCAACCCGAGTGCCCGCCAGCACACGAGTGGGTGATAAAGCTGCGATGCACACACACAAGAGACTGTTACTTGGGCACAGGAAAGGATGAAACCTTGCCCTTTACGACAGCACAGAAGGCCCTGCGGAGCACTGTGCTAAGTGAAGTAAATCACACAGAGAAAGACAAATACCGTATGATCTTACTTATAGGTGGAATCTAAAGAACTATCTAAACAAACACCCTGGCTGGTGTGGCTCAGTGGATTGAGCACGGGCCTGTGAAGCAAAGGGTCACTGGTTCGAATCCCAGTCAGGGCACATGCCCGGGCTGCAGGCCAGCTCCCCAGTGGGGGACACATGAGACGCAACCACACATTGATGTTTCTCTCCCACTCTTTCTCCTTCCCTTCCCCCTCTCTAAAAATAAATAAATATTTTTAAAAAGAACTATATAAACAAACAAACACACCAGAAACAGACTCATAGATACAGAGAGCAGACTGATGGCTGCCAGATGGGAGGGGGGTTGGGGGACTGGGGGGGAAAGGTGAAGGGACTAAGAGGTACAGAGGGACTGTCAGTTACAGATCAGTCCCGGGGCGCAGAGCGCAGCACAGGGAAGGCAGTCAGTAACACCTCCATAACTAAGTGCGGCGCCAGGTGCGTACCTGAAGAGGGGACCGCTTTGTAAAGCCTGTGATCGTCCAACCACTATGCTGTACACTCGAAACGAATATAAAATACTGAATGTAAGCTATAGTTGAGAGATAACGTTTTTTAAAAAGATCGATGTGTTTCTAGTTCATCTTCTCCACTAAACAAAACAGAAGAAGAAAGGAAACGCCGGCAGGGTGTCCAGGATCGTTACGATGGCGAAGAGCCTCTGAGAAGACTAAACGGTGGCGTTATCCCAGCTGGACTGAAATGTCACCGGCCTTACATTGTATGAAGTGTTAAAGGGACTTGTCTAAGAAAAAGAAGATAAAAAAGATGAACAGTGAAAGGACAGCAGACTCACAGTTACTAAGAACCACACCTAAAACAAAAGCAAACTAAAAGGACAGCTGGATCAGGAGTGGAAACATAGAAATGAAGATCACATGGAGGGTTAGCAACAGGGGAGTGGGAGGAGGAGAAGGGGGGAGAAAGTACAGAAAATAAGTAGCATAGATGGTAGGTAGGAAATAGATGGGGGAGGGCAAGAATAGTAGGGGAAATATAGAATCTAAAGAACTTGTGACACGTGGACATAAACTAAAGGGGGGAATGGTGGGGGAGGGGTGTGCAGGGTGGAAGGGAATGAAGGGGGAAAATAGAACAACTAATGGCATAATTAATAAAGACATATTTTTTAAAATGTAACCGGCACGCCACCCCTTCTGGACGACGACAGCCCATTCTCCGCTCCTTGGTTTAACATCCAAAGAGTTTTCACCCAGGACCACACTGTTTGAGGGGCGGGAACTGCAGACGTGTGTTTGGAATGCCCACTATACTGCTAAAAACGTAATCATACTTTTAAAAACTATGTACAGTTACGGATAGCAAAAATAAAACTCTCTTTAACTCTTTTTCTACAGTAGTAACAACCTCAAACCCCGACTCCAGCTTGGAAGGAGACCTCGGGGACCAAGGCGGTGCATGGCTTCAGAAATGCTGCATCACCAACCCTTGGACTCAGAATAAACGATTGCGTGAAAAAAGCACAATCCATGGGAATCAATGGCTCCGAGAGGAAATGGCATTCGGAAGAGCAGCTGCCTGAGTGGAAAGAAGTTTTAGAGACACTAAGTTTACTTCACGTACGTTTCCTTATGTCTTTTCCCCACATACACACCTAAAAGACCTCTTTTCATGGGTATAAAGGGATGATTCTCTGTGAGAAGACAATAACCCTTTCTTGATCCCATGTCCCCTACTAGTCATGACCCCATTTTTTGCTCTATTTACAGCAAAATCACTCCCAAAGAGGTGTCTGTGCTTGCTGCCTCGGTCCTTTCGTCCTGTGCTCTCTTCTGCTCCAATCGGGCGTCGGGCCGCCACACACCAAATCTGTTTCTGTCAAGGTCACCAAAGAACTTTGGTTTGCTTAATACAGTATCCCATCCTCATTCCTTGTTGTACTTGGTCTGTCGGACATGTGTGATCACTCCTTCTCCTAGAAACACCTTATTCGCTTGGACTCCCGAACCACACGTGAGTGGTGCCCCCCCCATGCCCTGGCCTGTCCCCCTCAACTCCTCTCCAGTTCTCTCGTCTCTGCCTCTGACACATGGGTGAGCCCCATAGCTCAAGCAAAACGTCAATAAACTTAAGATTTCATTTCTCAACATCTGCTCATAACACTCTCAAATACCACAAACCTAGGAAGCTTCCAGGTATTTCTGGCTTAGAAGATGATGGGCTCTATGTTCATTTCAAATTAATATCTTCAGTAGAAGCTAAATAGGGTGAACAGAAGGGCTCTTAGACATGGCAAAGCCACAGGTCCTGGTCATGACACCTCTCAATTCTAAGGGTAAGTCTGTGGGGACGCATGTTAGGGTTTCCAGGGTATTCACTACAGAGTATGAATGGAGCTGAGGGAGGAAGAACCTTATAACCAGGAGCATCTAGAACCTTTACCAGGGAAGATACATGAGTAGTTAGAGGCAGAAAAATTTAGAGACCTCCTCCTCCCAAAAACGTATAGGCCTTGCAAGTGTTTTAAATTTTTCATTGTAACCTATTACTCTCAATGTAACAATAGCAGGGAAACAATGTTTCAAGTAATTCTGAGAATAGTGGGTATTAGGTTACATAGTATGTGCTGTATGCTACACTTGCAGGCGCGTTAAATAAGTCAGCTTGTTTAACGAAACCATTTCCTAAGTCTCATTTAAGGATGTAATGACAGCTTGTAGAATACCAGCTCACCTGTCCGGCACTCAGCTGTTCAGCAACCTTATCTCTCGGCAATGTGGCCAAGAACCAAGTGGAAAACAGATCACCATATCCAGGTACCAGCCTTCCAGGGTTCACTTTTGGGAGAAGCCTTCACTCATAAGGTGTTATAAAAGAAACTGCCCTGAATTTGGAACCAGGAAGGTCAGGGTGGGGCAGACTTAAGAACCCAAACGCACAACAGCCTAAGGAAGGTCATCTGGCTATTTGGCTCAGGATAAGCTGGTGGCTTATCTGATAGCACAGTGATGATTCCTTCAGGGTGAGGCTTTTGGTTCGTTGTGGTGCCCCCAGGAGGGAGCAAAGTTCCTAGAGCGTCAGAAATCTCAATGTTCATTAATGCTGTTTATAATGGCAATCCTTAGTCGTCGAAAGGATTAAACCACATCTCGATTGTGCTACAGAGAGAAGAGCAAAACATTTGAAAAAGATTTTCAATGATAAATACTTGAATACGGTTTAGAAGGTTGAGACAGAGAAGAGAGAGATCGATCCTCAGCTGTCCAGGGGACTTGGTTATTGAGAACAATTTACAGAACAAGCCCCGAGGGTCCCTGGACACTGAAGTTTCAGGAAAGGCACCCAGTCCTGTTCTTCCTGCCGGGGGGCCACAGCATCCTGACCCACTCCACTCCTACGGCCCTAGGCCAGGCAGAGGATGGGCCGCTGGGGGCTGGCTGACCAGCTGCAGCTGCCCACGGGACTCTGTCCGCTAGTTCCCCGAAAAGAAGATCCAGAATGGGAGCAACCTGGGAGGGGTCCACAGAGTCAGCAAGCACCACCCAGGTTATGGTGGGAGAGTCTGAAACCACTGATCTCACTTCTAAAAACACATGGCTCCCACCACGTACAAGCCCGTGCTTTCTTGGGGGCTGATAACCAGAAGGTTGAAGGCAGACGGGCAGAGGTTGCCGAATTCGAGGTGCAGAGGGACCCTGATAAAACACCGACATCAGAAGAAGAGATGAGTACATAGTAGCAAATTACATAAAGTCAGTTCCTTGTTTAAACAAAAAATAAAACATGCTTATTAAAAGTCACAGTTCTGGTTGCTAAGGAGCCGAGGCTCATGTCATGCAGGATTCGAGCTCAAATGGGTCACGGTGGGGACTCTTTCCTCCCCCTTCTAAATTGAAAGTGTTTTGTTTTGTTTTGTTTTGTTCATTAAGAAAGAGAACATCGACTTCTGCGCGAAAACTTTCCGAGGGGATCCAGAGAGTCCTGGACCACTGAGCTGTGACCTTTGAGTGGGCTCCGGGGTGCACGCAACCTTCCTGAGTCGCCCCCCTTTCTTTAACTTCCCGCGGAGGCGCCCCCGCAGGGCGCGGGCCCGGGCGCTGAACGAGCGCCGCCCCGGCGAGCAAGCCCTGAATGAAGGAAAGCGGAATCTCGAGCGAAACTTCGCGTTTCCTGCCGCTGCGCAGGCAGGTCGGGCTCGCTCCTTCCCACACGGCTCCTCCGCCAAGGCTGTGCACGCAAACACCCCGCTTGCCGGCCGGCCCCACGCGCAGGGGGCCTTTCGGGGCGCCGCGGTGTGGTGGTCCCTTGCCCTCCCCTGGACCAGGGCCATCCAGTACAGATAACGGTGCCGGGACGCCCTCCACTTCCTAGAGTCCTCATTGAAGTCATGGTTCCTCTTTCAGGGACGAAATGCAAAGCCAAAGAACAGACTAAAGGCAAAATCACCCCATCGCCTCCCTGCACCCACTCCTTGGTTATTGTAAAACAGCCGGGTCAGGCTCCTTTTGTCGCGCACACGCGCGCACACGCACAAAAGTAGGTGAAGGGCGCCCTGCGGCAGTACTGTTTCCCGCCTCGCAGAAAGCCTTTCCGAAACCCTCCTACCACCTCCGGACCCAGGGCTTTAGCTTCAGCTAGAGCGAAACGATTCCCAGCCAAGGCACGAAAAGCCAAAGCGGTGCCCAAAGCTGAGGGCTGGGAGGCAGGGCAAGCCGGGCGCACCTAGACGTTTGCATCCACACAAAGAAATTAGCCGGGTGATTAATGGGAGACGCCGGCTGGCGGCGGAGGCGCCCGCGCCGGCCCCCTCACCTGGGACATCTGCGGCCTCAGGTTGATCTCCTTCAGGTTGATGGAGCGCGCCCGGAGGTTGTTAAGCAGCTGGCAGAGAAGGACTCCATCGCGGAGGGTCTGCGCCAGGTCGAACACCTGCGCCGAGTCCCAGGTCACCCGGTGGTTGGCGGGCAGCACCTTGCAGTGGATGAGCCACTGGGCGCACTGTCTCCACGGCTCCATGCCCGACGGTTCCGGGACGGGGCCCGGCCGGGGCAGGCGGCGAGGACGCCACCGACGCGAGCCGCAGCCGACCCCTGGCCGGCGAGGGTGCGAGGGAGCCGGCGCCGCGGCCCGGGGATCCGGAGCCCCGCTCAAGGCTCGGCTCGCTCCCCGCCCGGCGCCCGCCGCCGCTCGGCCTCCGCCGCAGCGAGTTCCGCGCGCTCTCCGAGCGCCCGGGCCGGCTCGGGGGCCGCGCACTGGCTTCCGACTCGCGAGCGCGGCGCCCGGCGACTGAGCATGCCCAGCGCGCAGCCCGTCTCGCCGTCTGCGAGTCCCCAGAGGCGCGGGTGGGAGCGCGCGCCGCCCCGGCCCGGGGTCGGCGGCCTGGCGAGGGCGCTCCCGGCGCCCCAGCGCCTCCGCCCACCCCCAGCCCCCAGGGGTGCGGAGCTTCCCAGCCCCCCGCGTCCGGGGATTGTCTCTCGGGGCGGCTTCCCGGTTTGGGCGCCGCGCGGCTGATCACTCCGACACGGTGGGCGTCCCACCGGGAACTCCCCAAAGGTGTGCGCGGTTTTGCAAAGGGTCTGCGAGGATCAAAGGAGGAATCGGGCCACCCGGAGTCCCCAGAGAAACGCAAACGGGGCGCAGAGCACCGGGGGGACGCAGGCCCGAAAGTTTGAGGGGTCGCACCCCTCCCTCTCCCCGTTCTATCCCTTAAATGCCCTCCCAGCTCCTCGTCGCTCTTCCCCCGAGTTGGTGGCACAGAAGGATGTTTTTGGCACCTTAAACGTGTGTGTGTGTTCAGACGACTGCAGAAACCTGTCCCCAGACCCGCGCCCATTTGGACGCGAGGCGACTTTCACTTAGGGACCGTTTTCGCCTCTCTGCTCCGGCCCCCCAACTGCTCACCACCGCGGTCCTGGCCGCGGTGCGAACCGAACAAAACCCGTAGGAGAGAAACAGGCCCGCGCAACGCCCACCGAGGCCGGCGGCCGCACTGCGCATGCGTCGGCAGCCGGGGTTGACAGCTCTCGGCCCGGGGCCCCGCCGCCCCGGGTGGGCTCCACCCCGGGACCTCGGGGGAAGTCGGAACGAGCCTCTGCAACTCCTGCGCCGCTTGGAGCGGCGCGCTTGCATTTCTCAGATCGTCTTTTTTTTTTTTTTTTGGGGGGGGGGTCTCCAAATGCTGCGCCCTTTACTCCCACTGCCCCTCGAAACTAAAAACAGTATTTAAATTTATTTATGGGACGATATTACCACATTGAACTCTGGCTGTTCTATGTAAATGTGGTCCTCTGTCTTTTAAATTTAAAGATGAGGTCTTTTAACATAGGAAAATAATAGTAAAATAGGAAATCCCGTTGGCAGGAATTCAGGTAATTTCTCATTATTACATTTCTGCAGCTCAAATTTTTTTATTATAAAATGTTAGTTTATAAGCAGGTCCACTGTTATTTTACAAAGTACGTCTGATCTGCTAAGGGCAGGGCCTGCGTCCTCTCCCACGGGCCTGTGCCCAGCGTGGCGCCCGGTCCCCCCCGGGCCTTGAACAATAAAGGGGCCTGCGGATTTCCTTCCTGGGCGCGCATCCTCCCCCCGCAGCTTCCTCTCCTGTTCGGCCCCCACGGCATCAGGACACGATGTTTTCCGAACTGCAACGTGGACAAACAAGTCACACCAAGCTTTCCATCTCACCTCCAGAGACAGAATCCAGCACGTCTGAACCACCACGTAAGACCAGATCCTACATAAAGAGGGATCGAACTGGAAAAGAAGATTCATTTGAAAGGAAAGAAACAGTTAACTAAAAACACACGTTGTTTCAGGCGGCATCAGGTCGCCCTTGGGTGTCCTGGGTCACGTCCAAACCCCAGACCCTCTGCACTCTCGCGGGAGGCAGGCCTAAGTGAGAGGCCACGACCTTGGGGAAATTAACCAGTTCCTCGAACCCTCAGCTTCCACGTATGTAAAATGGGGAAATGACATTCACCTCGTAGTGTTGTCGCCAGGATCAAATGACACAATGCGTGTTATTGGGAAGGCAGCCTGCGGGCCAGCAGCGGCTCCCGGGAGCTCGTTAGAAAGGCGGCCGCTGCCCCAGAGCGAATCAGTCAGAACCCGCCTTTCAGCAGGATGCAAGGCAGGAAACCCGCAGTGCGAGCGTGGGGAACATCAACCCACCGCGTTTCGTTCACAAAAAGGCAGCAACCAGTAAACCAATCCTATTTAACGTCTTACAATTCATATATGTATTACGACGCATATATAGGAGGACTTCAAAACGTAATACTGTTAAAATAACAGTAAACTAGCAGGTGGCGAAAAGGGCAGGAGGAAGATGCTACTGGGAAGGCCTGGAAGAGAAGGGGCTGGGAGACGCGCGCAGGCCTCTCCGAGTAGGCCAGGCGCTGGGCGGCCACAGTGACCCCGCGCAGCCTGTCACCGCGTCAGAAACCGGGAGGCCAGCAAAAGATGGCCGTGGGCTTTTCCGCACGGCTAGCCGCTGTCTTTTTCCTTTAAAATCGACAGGGACCAATTCTGTCAGCGGCGGCTCCTTGCTTCCAATGAAAACCTTCATTGCACCTGTGACGAGGGACTCAGGACTCAGGACTCGGGGCCCCACTGGCCTGGAGGCCTGCAGTGGCCCCTGAGGCGTGGCCACCCTCCGCCATTCACTGGATGCCAAGGCCTCTGTTGGGCGCTTTACACACATTACCTGCAAGTTAGACGATGCCCCCCTCCCCCCACCCACCGCCGACCCCCCGACCCCAGTGGACGAGGAAACAAGATCAAAAGCACGAATGACCATGCTCCTGGTTACGGAGCTCACTCGGGAAGAGGGAGAGGCTGGCCTTCACAGCCGTGCCGATTCTGTTCAGCATTGCTCCCCATTACCATAATTACCTTAGCGAGTTGCATCACTGGCTTAAGTGTCTTTCTGCCTGAGACTGAAACATCCTGAAAGCAGGGGCAGTAGCTCATTCATCTTCGGATTCCCAGAACCAACCTTGGTGCCGGGCACACAGTAAGCACTCAGTGTCTGTGGAGTGAGTGTGTGAGTGAACAAACTATGTTGCCTTTTTTTTAACTCTGCTCTCTCTTCCTGGTAATGGAGAGATCAGGAAGCGTTCGCTGGCGTTACCTGTAGCAGGTGTCAGGGCCACATGTGGGGAAGGTCTGCTTCCTCCAGGCGCCTCCTAGCCTTTTGGGCCCTCGAGAGTGGCAGGCCTCCCTCTGCTTCTCCCCTGCATTGCTCCGTGGTCTGGACCATGGCCTCAGCCCTGCACGATACAAAAGTGGGAAACTGGATGGGCAGCCGCCCGAGATGCAGGAAAGATCTGACAAGAGAGGACAGATATCACTTATTAGGTCTCTCCATTTCAAAACTGCACGGTCATCAGAAAAGGAAGGACCAGGGGCAGAGACACTCGGCGATGCATCGGTCCTAATGGACCAGCGGACGTGAACTACAGGAGGGGAGAGCCCCGGAGGTCCGCTGCCTGCTGCGGTCTGCGCTGCTGCTCCATCCTCACCCTCGGGTCTTCTCCTTCCTTCCACTCTTAGGTTTGCAAACCCACTAAGATCTGTCTGCCACCGAAGAATTCACAAACCCAAATTTATCTCTTATTCCTTATTTCTTATTTTGTGTCAGAAAAGAAGTAAAATTGTGGGTGATATATCACCTATCAAAGATAAATTGGTTTATGAAAAACATTTTAAATGCAAAACAAATAGTATAGACTACAGACTAAAATCCAGGCTCTCTGTCTGTTAGGCTAATTTTCTTCACAGTCAGTCAAGTGTTGTTCGGTTTCACATACACATTAGGGATGCAGATTTAAAGTGCATAGTAATGTAATACTGCTTTTAAAGTAAATACCAGGAAACCATGGAGAAGATAGGATGCGAGAGAGTGAGATTTCTATAATGGTCATTCTTCTGACAAATGTTCCCAAATCAGTTGAAACTGAAAGATTTTTAGGTACAACTGAACAGGATCTTGTTAGTATTGAATTAGAGGATTTTCTTTGTTCTTCTAACATGTTAGGTCCTGATTAAAAAAATAATAATGAGCCCTGGCTGGTGTAGCTCAGTGGATTGAGCACAGGCCTACGAACCAGGCAATCACGGTTCGATTCCCAGTCAGGGCACATACTGGGGTTGCAGGCCGGTTCCCTGCAGGCCAGTTCCCAGCAGGGGACGCATGAAAGGCAACCATACATTGATGTTTCTCTCCCTCTCTCCTTCCCTTCCCCTCTAAAAGATAAATAAATAAAATCTTTATAAAAAAAATAATAATGACAACGACAATAATGGCCCTTCATCCAAACGTCCCTTGGTGGCTAACGAAAGAATTTTGCTTGAGATAATTTACAACACAAATACCCCCAAAGAAACAGCTTGAAGAGGAGCACAGGAACATGACTCTCACTCTGTGCATTGCCAGGAAAGCACTAATAAAGGACTAAGGTCCAAATAAATGCAGATGTAAGTGCCCCCCTGCCCCCGCTGTGGACACACACACACACAATGAGGCTCCAAGATTTACAGTAATTCACCAAGTTAACCATGCCCCAGCTGGGTCTTCTCGGAGTCCAGCTCCCATGAAGCATGCTGCAGCCTGCCCGCCTGGGTGGACGTGAACCCCAGCCCTGGGTGGACGTGAACCCCCTGCAGCATGTTAGCAGCGATGCGTGTGCGCACTCTGTTTGGAAGGTGACTGAGGCAGTCGGACTCACTGAGAAAATCTAAATAACTGTGTTCCTGGGAGCAACTGAGGGCCTGAACCTAATTGTGGAGCATTTAACTTTCATTGCATGTCGGTATAAACAAATTTCCAGAGAGAGAGAGAGCTCTTCATACTGAAATAGTAAACGTTAAAATCCGATGTAAGGAATTTTTTGCGGGAAGGCCTTGGTGGCCTTGTTTCCACAAAATGCCGCGTGTGTCACTGTCATCATACTAAGGTCTTTGTAGAGTGATTACATATCTGACACCCCAACTACCGCCACCTTCTCCGCACCCCCACCCTGTGAGCTTTGGCGGCACAGGGACCATCTCTAATCTGTATCCTATCTCCGATGCCTAGCACCGAGGAGGGAGGGGTGGGTGGACGAATGGAGGGATGAAGAATGGAAGCATGGGGGGATGGGTGGATAAATGACACGGGCGGGTGGGTGGAAGGAAGGAAAGCTGGACAGACAGATGGATGGATAGATGGATGGGTACAGATGGACGGATAAACGAGACGGAGAGGATGGAAAACCTGCAATGA